GGAAGGGAGAGGGAGAGAGAAACATCAGTGATGAGAATCACTGATTGGCTCCCTTCTGCACACCTCCTACTGGGGATCAAGCCTGCAAACCAGGCATATGTCCTTGACCAGAATCGAACCTGGGACCGTTCAGGCTGGCCAAACCGGCCAGGGCTTATTTCATTTTTATTATTTATCACTAGGCTAGAAATATTATGCCAGAGTCATATTTTAGGGGGCAAAGTGAAGGCATTAAAATAAACCTAACCACAGCACCTCCAAAATATATTCCTTTGATATATATATTTTTTCATTTTTAGAAACTGATTTGCGAGAGAGAGGAAGGGAGGGAGGGAGAGAAACAACACAGCGATGCGAGAGAGAAACAGTGCCCTGCTGCTGCCTGGCAGACCTGGGGACTGAACCGAAACCAGATGTGTGCCCGACCAGGAATCGAACGGCGACCTGAACAGGCGTGCAGGCTGGGAACCCCCTTCCTCAGAATCCTGCACCTGAAGCTTGTGGGCCTCTGGTGGGTGCCTCAGGCTTTCTCTGTGACTCCCCCCACCCCACTTGCAACTGCTTTCAACTCTGGATCCCGCCTGGCTGTGGCCTCTGGACGGCTTTGGTCTCTGTGCCCTCAGAGGTGCGGCATTTTAAATCAGCTCTTTGGTCTTTCCCTGGCTCTCCTTTCTCTGTCTCTGTTCCCGGATCACTTCTTGCAGGATCTTCTCATTGTTTTATCCCCTTTCTCCCATTTTCCATCTTTTTGTTTTACTTTATAGGAAATTTCACAAGACTTTCTTACAATGCTTCTATAGGACCTTAAAAGTATTTTTTATTGGTTGATATTTTTGGAGAGATTGATTGATTTGTTGTTCTACTTATTTATGCATCACGGGCTGGTTCGTGGAGGTGCCCTGCCTCAGGATGGGACACATGAGCTGAGCTATGGGCCGGGCCCTCCTGCAGGACTTTTCATAACATTCTGTCAGATGTTATTGTTCAAGGACACATTTTGGTTCTTGACTCCCCTTCCTTTTTATATGAATTCTCATTCTTACGTTAGAAATGCATGACCTTCTCTTATTGTCTTGAAAATACCATTGTTTGAACTCTCCCTCTGTAGTTTATTTCCCAGATTCCTGCGTTTCCTTTCCTTGTTGGGGCCGCGCCTGTTTCCGCCTCGGGGGCTCTTCCCTGACCTGAGGTGGAGGTGGGTGGAACGGGCTTGCGGGCTCCATGCGGGCTCCATGCGGGGAAGGGGGCAGCTGAGCGCTTTCTTAGGAACCCGGACCCAGGACCAGGATTCTTTCTCTGAGACGCTCATTCTTCTCAGAACGAAGTCCTCCAAGGCCATCTGCCAGGACTCCCAAGGGAAGGCTGGGGCGCCCGCCCATCCTGCCTCCAGGACCCAGTGCAGGCTCCCACCAGCTGTGGGAGGGCCCGCCATCACCTGCGACAAGGAACGGACTCTCCTCCAGGACCTTCTAACCTGCGTCTGACCCAGCCCCTGGCGGCCTTGGAGGGCAGGGACCCCTGGCTCCCGGCATCTCGGGGGTGGGGGTGGGGGGGTCTGTACCAAGTTCATACCCTGGGACTGCCCAAAGGCTGGATTGCGCCATCAGGAGCAGGGAAGTGGGCCAGAAGCCCACACCTCCCCTGCTGGCTAAGATGAGGAATTTCTTCTCTTTATTTTTATTGATCAGAGAGGAAGGGAGAGGGAGAGAGAAGCATCAATGATGAGAGAATCATGGATCACTGCCTCCTGCATGCCCACACTGGGGATCTAGCCTGCAACCTGGGCCTGTGCCCTGACTGGGGATCAAAGGCTGACCTCCTGGTTACTAGGTCGAATTTCAACCACTGAGCCACGCTATGTTTATTTTTTTAATATTGTTCCTTCCTGCTCTGAATGGCCTTGGTTTTATTCTCATAAAATGTTCAGATCTCCTTTCAAACAAACGGCCCACGGAGGTGATTCAAATGGGCTCCAGTGGAGAATGAAGCCGATAGTGTCACTTCTGTGTTCAGGAGCTGATGCGTTTTTTCTGAATCTTCGCTCAGATCTCTTCGTTTTCAGAGAGCATCCCATTGGCTCCTGGGCTGCTGAGAGGCCCGCTCTGTACCCCAACGCCATGTTTAAACTATGAAAATAGGTACATATGATGTCAGACAGAAACAGTAAAACAGGTCTATATATGCCTTTTACTTTGGTGATGACCCATAAGAGTCAACCAAGATGTTCTTATCAAGCCCCTGCTTGCTTGCTTGCTTTTTTCCTTCTTCGTGGATTCCTAATGAAATAGAAGCCAGTGGGTCTCTGGTTTATTTCTTTGTTTCCACTCTTACATTATATTTTTAAAAACTTTAACTTTATTGTTGAGAGTATTACAGATGTCCTTTTTTTTTCCTATTGACCCCCATCCACCCATACCTGCCCCTCCCAGGCCTTCCCCACAATATTGTCTGTGTCCATGAGTTATGCATATATGCATATACGTTCCTCAGTTCATCTCTCCTCACCCACCACCGCATATGAGTGAGATCATGTGACACTTGTCTTTCTCCGACTGACTTATTTCACTTAACAAGATACTCTCCAGGTCCCTCCATGCGGTTGCAAAGGGCAAGAGACCCTTCTCTTTTACTGCTGCATAGTATTCCATGGTGTAGATGTACCACAGCTTTTTTACCCACTCATCTACTAGTGGGCACTTGGGCTGTTTCTAGATCTTAGCGATGGTAAATTGTGCTGCTATGAACATAGAGGTGCATACATTCTTTATGGTTGGTGTTTGAGTTTCTTCAGATATATTCCTAGAAGTGGGATCACGGGGTCAAATGGAAGTTCCATACTTAATTTTTTGAGGAGACTCCATATTGTCTTCCATAATGACTGCACCAGTCTGCATTCCCACCAGCAGTGCACGAGGGTTCCTTTTTCTCCACATCCTTGCCCGCACCTGGCGTTTATTGATTTGTTGATGTTAGCCATTCTGTCAGGTGTGAAGTGGTACCTCGTTGTTTTGATTTGCATCTCTGATGATTAGTGACTGAGCATGTTTTCATATGTCCCTTGGCCTTCTGTGTGTCCTCTTTGGAGAAGTGTCTATTCAGGTCCTTTGCCCAAGCCCCTGGCTTCTACCAGCATTATCATTACAAACTCATAAGCTAAAAAGTCTAAGTCCCCTTTTTCCAAGTAACTAGAATAGTTGTAAGAATGTTAGATGACATAAGGATGAAAAATGTGATATAAAGACTCCAGATACAAAATAATTCAGAGATTGGAGATGAGAAGGCTAGAGATGGTTTGGAAAGACTCATGGGAAGACTTGGGTATTTGTGAATCTGATGGGCCACCATGAGTGAAATGAACAGTACTTGTTTTTATAAACTTTCAGATCCTGTTATTCCAATTAGGATCTGTACACAACCAGGCAGACTCTGTAAAAAGCATACGCTGCTATAAAAGCTGACTGTGGGCGCTAGGAACCCCGTTCCTCCAGACTCCGCCAGTGTCTGCTCACACACGACAGAGTACCAGTCCCAGACCACACAGAGGCGCGTCCATGAGACCCAAGGTCCTGGCCTGCCCTTTCTCATCCAGCCAGTTCTCCTTGGTTTTGCAGCCCTGCCCCTCCCCCTAACTGTGCTCCATCACGCCTCTTCCCTGCGAGGTGACCCTGTTTCTCCCTGCACCTTATTCCTTGTCACCTTTGCTACTGAAGCGCTCTACAGATGTTTTGATGAGTTGAAAACAGGTTTCCCATTTCATATGTATATTTAATAGAATATTCCTTATCTCATATAGGTCTCACGCACAGAGGTGAGTATGGAAGTGTTTTTCAATGATAACATACTGTACATTCAAACCCTACACTGCTCACTGTTTGACCTAATCCTTTAAGTCTTCCTGCACATTCCATTCTGCTTTTGTACAGGCTGCTTTGTCCTTCATGTGAGGGGACTCCCCTTGTGCTGCACACGCAGTCCTGGGCCAGCGGGTGCTCTCCACTCCACGGCGCACCCACACCACCGCTCCACGGCGCACCCACACCACCGCTCCACGGCGCACCCACACCACCGCTGCATAGTGCCCTCCCATCCCAGGGACTGCCTGGTACCAGCCTGGCTGCCCAGGAGCTCAGGCCGGGGCCTTGGACACAGGAGGATGCGGCTCCCATTTTTTCCCACTGACTGCAAATGATCTCTGTTCTTTGCTCCACAGAACATCCGATGTGGTGCCCAATCCGCTGAGAAAGCTGCACAGACGTC